CAAGTCAGTTATGTAATCTTGTCTATACCCGACGCCCCCTCTGTTGCACAAGCGCAGCACCCACACCAAATTAATCACCGATTAGCACTCTATCTATTATCACCCTATATGCCCTTCACCTATAAAAGGCTCTAAGACACATATGCATAGTATTGTTTTATTCTTACTTTCTATTTCAAAATTACAATATAACTGTCTCTAGCTAAAATTAGTTCCCCGACAATTGCAACTCATTAGTCGTAAAGCAAAGACAACTAATCAAATCCGGGCTGAACGTAATCCTAGTAAGATTCAATATATGTGTATTAAGAATGTTAATCCCGGGATTCTGGGATCCCAGGATCACGGCCTTTTTAAGGTCCCAAAAATCGCGGGATTCTTGGCACTTAACCCTGGGATTTCGGGATTGGCAATTTGCACTGACGGCAATAATAGAAACTCTTTCTTAACCGGTATTGGTTATATTCCGTTTTTTATTTAATAAGTAATATTTTTTTATAAATTTTTAGCTCATTATATATTAGCGTGGTCCGAAATCCGCTTTTTTAGAATTTTGATTGGTAATAGCAAAGATATGGTTCATTATGCTCTAAAAAAAATCTGTGTGAAATGTGAAAACTTTTGGTCAATATCCTAGGATCGCCCAAGTCCATTAAAGTTCAACTACTAAAAAAAAATTTTCTTAGCTTACTTCGATTCCCTACAAAAATGGTCCATATACCAAATTATGTAGACTAATACTTTCGAAGATTATTGCAATTTTAGTAAAAAATGTATTAATTAATGTATTAATTAAATAATTTATTAATTTTTATTTTTTGCGCATATTGAACTTTGATTGACTTGGGCGAGCCTAGGATATTGATCATAAAATTCCAAATTTCACACAGATTTTTTTTAAAGCATAATGAACCATATTTTTGCTATTACCAATCAAAATTCTAAAAAAGCGGATTTTCGGCCCACGCTATTATATATATAACACCACGCGATAGTAAATTTTTAACACAAATATCAATATATTCGCGAAACCATGGGCCAAATATAGTAATATTGCGTCTTTAGATTTTCACTCTGACGTCAGTAATTCAAAATTGATTTAAAAAATTCAGAGAAATGTGCTTACAGAAAAAGTGTGGGTATAAAATTAAAGAGAAAATCCTGTAGAATTTAAACAGATTCAAGTTTTTGGTGCAGAAAGACTGGTAAGTATTGAAAAAGTCCTTTTAAAATTTTATCCTTGAAATTTCACAATATTTGTTATTGAAAAACTTATATGTTAAGGACTTATATAAACTCGATAACACCCTCGAATTTCGTCCTTCTAACTTTATTAGCTTAAAAAATTAATTTTGTTTTAGATTCTAAAGAAATATCCTTTGCGTTTGGTACCCATATTTTTATTCTACATTGCATTGAACTTTTTAAATAATTTTTGGAAGTTGAAATTAAAAAGTCCTTTAAAATAAATCCTAACATCCGAGAAAAAAATAGAAACGTTGCTCTAAATAAAAAAAGTAGGTTTCAAACCCATTTATTTATTATTTATTTTATAGTAGGAGAGCTTCTCAAACAACATTGAAGCAAATTTTTCGATTTAAGTTGTTGAAAAGTAATGAATGTCCAAATACCGGGACTAATCCCGGGATTGTGATAACGTCATCCCAAAAATCCCGGGATTGGAAAAAGCTGAAAAATTAATATATAATATATATCGTAAGTATATATAAAGAAAATCAGAAAAAGAATATTATGATCTGGTAATTATTCACGTTGAAACTAGTAAAGAAGTATAAGTTCGGGCGAAACCGAACTTTATGTACCCGTCGCAGGTATCAAATATCGTCGTTTCAACTTTCTCTAAACTACATTTCCATGATAAGCAGGGGTGTTATTCCCTATTTCAAACGTTGTCGATAATATGCTGAGTTAGACTTAATGTTATAATGGAACATAGTTTGGTAGAAATTGATAAAGTGGTTACCGAGGTACACCTTTTTAGTCATAAAGTGAGCGGCGCACTATGGGCAATATGAGGCATTTGCTGATCAAAAATCTGTAACTTTTTTGTTTTTAAAGTTAAGATCATGAAATTTTGCGTGTAGATAGTGTAAGCCATGTAAATTTAAACCATGCATTTTTTTTTTGTATCTCATTTGGTTCCCGATATAGACCCATATGTGGACTTGGAAAACATAAAAAGTACACTTTCTGATTAAATGGAAAAAATATATTTTACTATTGGTATTAAACGATTGTTTTTACAAAATATTATTTCAGATATATATACTTTTTAGATACATTACCCCTCGTTAAAAAAATATATTTAAAAAGAAATTTTGCTGAAATATTGCATTATAGTAGGTGCCATTAGAAAAGTATATAAAACACCCTCATAAAAAAATGTTGAATAGTATACCAAATTGAGCTTTGAAAAAAATTATTGACTAAAAAGAGTATATGTTTTACATATTAAAAATACATTTATCAAAATGCCTCATTTATTTGTGGTTTCGATTCCTTCCCAGTGTGGAATGAATTCACTTATTTTCAACAGGCCTAGATCATCCTCGTCAAGTTCTTTGGTGATTCTTGCGTATGGCTTACGAATGCTTGTTATATATGGATCTGATGTATACAATAATGTAATGTTGACATATATTCTTGCTGTTTCCAATGCATAAACGCCAAACTTTTCAGCATCAGTCATAACACCCGAAGATAAAGTTTGTAGAATGATATACAGTCTCTGTGTCGGCACTTCATCTACTTCAGTTATTTCAGCAGAATAAGTGGCATTCGAAAAATCATCTTGCTGTATTTCCATCATTGGAGTTGCCACTTACTTGCCGTGGCTTATCTATGATTAATCCCAGCTCTTCTCGAAAAAGTCTTTGCACCGCAGTTTTCTTTTCTCCTTTTGCCCTTTTGTGTACTTCATTTGTAGCAGACCATTTTTTAAAAGAAAGGTTATATGATATGTTCAAAATCATCTCCATGCATCTAATCCAGGCATGTAATGTTGATAATCCATAACGGAAACAGCTTTCGTCTTCAGGTTTGATGGCGACTTTCTCTAAACCGTTCATTAGGCGCGGAGTAGCACCACATATAGTACACGTAGAGCTGGAAGCTGTGCCTGTTAATACTTGGGTAAGTTTTCCATCGACCATTGTAAGGAAAAGTTCATGCTTGATTCATTCATCGATTTGGGACTGTATTTTATCCACAACAGACTTTGTTTTCATTGGGGTTTCCTTTCACCAAATGCTCTCCATTAAGCCAATCCCTATTTTCTTTAAGAAATCGATCCTTTTGCGTTGACCCTTAATCCAACGCGTATTGCATTGCCATAATAACTTTTCAAAAATCAATAATTTCAAATTCTGCGTTGACTTCCGAAATTTGATATTTTTCCCAGGGTTCGGAAATATTCACTCACCTTCGTACGCGAACGCGAAGGTGAACGTATCAAATATTCTGCATTGATTCTCCTTCGCGCTCGAGAAGCATAAACCCAGTCCAGATAGTTCGCGTTCGCGAATGTTAGGTAGAAAAAATTTCCGCTGTTGTTCGTACGCGTATGTATTCGTGGACCAAACAGCGTGCGTTCATATATGTATGTAGCTATAAGTGGCAGAGATGCCTTCGCGAAGGTTCACTGCTGACGTTCTTCACCATAAGTGAATGTAAATGCTGCGGCAAATATTCGCGGAAAGTTGGTGTGGCTGGAGATACTATTCTGTGCGAAGGCAATTTTGTTAATTGCATAAGATTTGCCCCGTTCATTCGATTTTCAAAAGTGAGGTGTCAAAGGAAAGGGCTTTGCCTCTAGATGTGCAGATAGGATATATTTTTTAATAGGGTTGTCACCTGCGTTTAAAATTATGATATTTACACCGTTCTCCCGATTTTCTAAAGTGAGGTGTCAAATGAAAGGGCTTGACCTCTAGATGTGCAGTAAGGACATATTTTTTTAATAGGGTTGCCACCTGCTTTTAAAATTATGATATTTTCACCGTTCTCCCGATTTTCAAAAATGAGGTGTCAAATGAAAGGGCTTGGCCTCTGGATGTGCAGTAAGGACATATTTTTTTAATAGGGTTGTCACCTGCGTTGAATAACATGATATTTACACCGTTCTCCCGATTTTCAAAAACGAGGTGTCAAATGAAAGGGCTTGGCCTCTAGATGTGCAGAAAGGATATATTTTTTTTAATAGGGTTGCCACCTGCGTTTAAAAATATGATATATACACCGTTCTCCCGATTTTCAAAAATGAGTTATCCAATGAAAGTGCCTCGCCTTTAGAAGTGCGCCAAGGATTTTAATTTTGGAATAAGATTGCCTTCTGTCAAAAAGTTATAATGATTACACCGTTTGCCTGGTTTTATAAAACGTGGGGTCAAATGAAGTGTCTTTGCTCACAGGTGTGCAAGAGGGTTTATATTTTTTGTAAATGCTGTTTTAGCCAACTAGTTAAGGCACTGCTATGCAGATGGTTGTTCTTACCAAAGCATGTTAAACTTTGGTGCGTTTTTCATCTCTACCCTGCAAAAAATGGGACTAATCCGGGATGACTCCGGGAGCAATCACAAAGGAGCATGCGACTAATACCACTTTTGTTCTCTTTATATGGAATGAACTGTTCGCTTTTGTTCGAGCATGTCCTATGACTACGGTGACCATATTAACCAACGTAAAATAAAGGACATTTTTTTCAAACTGTTTTGGGAATACGAACATACAATTTGTATGATAAAATTACCTTACCCATATCGTAATTTAAATCAAATATTTACCGGTTACTTATATTATTTCACTGTACAAGTTCCCCTTCTACAGCTAAAAATTAAGCCAAACCCTTTTCAAGGACTTCGACATCTTTTGCTACCAAAATGCGTTTACCATAATTCATACCGCACGACGAAGCCAGCACACAGTGGTTCAAAACTGGAATTTAATGTTCATAATGCACCGGAGCCTTAATTTTTCAACCAATTTTTGCTAAAAACCAAACAAATATTTATTTTGGTGAGTATTTTTTTATAACATTTCAACATTTTTTTTTAAGTATTTTTTTTTTGTTATGGGAGAGCCATATAATTGGTTTCAACTAGTTTTTTTTATACAACATTCATTAACTGGAACAAGAGAATACATTTTCTTCAAAATTGCTACCTTATCTGCATTTTGCACTAAAAAAATTAATATAATCAAATCAAATTTCAGGCATCAGGCTCAACTGGTCTTTTGCAAATATCGTAAGCTTCCATAAAAAAAATAATAAAAATTAATCATATTAAGTAAAAAAATGAAGGCTCTAGTGAATTACGAACACTAAATGCCAGTTTTAAACCACTGTGCAGGGGGGGGGGGGTTTATTGTTCTCTTTCAGCGGAACTGGAAACTCAGCGTGCAACACCATCCTGGGCACAACTTTCCCAGTGCTTTATAGATTGTACAAAGATTTCCGATTAAATAGAAACCCTTAAGTGGGGTGAGAAACAAACTGGCGAAGGTTTTCATTATATTTCATAAGGGACATTTTTATTTTTCATATTCTGCGTTTAAAAATTTATCAACTCTGAAAAATACAGAGCCGATTTAAAGGACAGTTAAAGAAATAAAGGACAAAAGGCGTCCTTTATTTTGAAAAAAATTATAAAGGACAGGGGGTTAAAATAAAGGACTGTCCTTTAAAATAAAGGACGGATGGTCACCGTACCTATGACGAAACTAATTGTTCACCTTTATGGGTATAATTGGAGTTCAACTCAACTCAATCTCTAATGGGTACTATTAACGATATAATGATATGTACGCACTCAGCCAATGAAATTTCATGTGCGGCGTTGGCACACAGAGAGAGTATTCGCCTAACAAAAATGAGCACTCCGGTTCGATGTTCAGCTGGCGCAAAATTTTATTTTTATTTTTTAAAAGTAAATAGTCGCTTTTTATACCCGTTCGGGTATAAAGGTGAACAATTAGTATCTTCATAGGACTTGCTCGAACAAAAGCGATCAGTTCATCCCATATAAAGAGATCAAAAGTGGTATTTGTCGCATGATCCTTTGCGATTGCTCCCGGAGTCATCCCGGATTAGTCGCATTTTTTGCAGGGTATTTTTTAAAAGTGACTAGTCGCTATTTATACCCGTTCGGGTATAAAGGTGAACAATTAGTCTCTTCATAGGACATGCTCGAACAAAAGCGAACACTTCATTCCATATAAAAGATCAAAAGTGGTATTAGTCGCATGCTCCTTTGCGATTGTCATCCCGGATTAGTCCCATTTTTTGCAGGGTAATTAATGCCCAATTGTACCCGATTGGGAGTATTCCGAGATTACTCTCTATCGGGTACAATTGGGCATTAATTAGTCGCAACTAGTCTCATACGGGTACTAATGGAGGTCAATTAGTCTCGACTCATCCCTTGTGGGTATAATTGGAGATCAATTAGTCCCCAACTCATCTCTAACGGGTACTATTAACGATTTAATGATGTGTACGCACTCAGTCAATGAAATTTAACGTGCGGCGTTCGCACACAGAGAGAGTATTCGCCTAACATAACTGAGCACCCCGGTTCGAATTTCAGCTGGCGCAAATTTTTATTTTTATTTTTTAAAGTGACTAGTCGCCTTTTATACCCGTTCGGGTGTAAAGGTGAACAATTAGTCTCTTCATAGGACATGCTCGAACAAAAGCGAACAGTTCATTTCATATACTCCTTTCCTTTGCGATTGCTCCTGGAGTAATCCCGGATTAGTCCCATTTTTTGCAGGGTAAGTACAATCCCTCTCTGTGTGCCAACGCCGCACATGAAATTTCATTGACTAAGTGCGTACATATCAATCAATCGTTAATAGTACCCGTTAGAGATGAGTTGGGGACTAATTGATCTCCAATTATACCCATAAGGGATGAGTCGAGACTAATTGACCTCCAATAGTACCCGTATGAGACTAGTTGGGACTAATTAATGCCCAATTGTACCCGATTGAGAGTAATCTCGGAATACTCGCTTTAGAGATTAGTCGCAAAATTTTTTGCAGAGATATTTATACATACATATGAACATTCTACAACTATGTATGCATGTGAATAAAATTTTGTCGATGGTGTTATTATTTTCTTCCATACATGTGTAGACGGCATTTTCGCTGTTGTTCATACGCGAAATTTGTCTACCCAACATATGCGAAAGCTGTTTGTTTAAAAATATTTGTACATACTTGCAATAATTGTGAGGGCTATGCTCATCTGCAGGTGGAACCGCAAATATTGCTGTTGAATGATGTTTTTCTGTAAAGATTTCTGAGAAATACTAACGATACGCTTATGGGAAATAATGCATTCATTGCTGCACTTTATATGGATCCGTGCTTTAATTTCGCCAACACGCCTCTTCTAAGCTATGATCAAAAGCAAGCTGCTGTGATAATTATTAACATTTTGATTTTGACATTTTTTTTAAATCTTGATTTGAATATTGCTTATTAATATTTTGATTTAGCTATTTTTTTAAATACTTCTTCCTTTATGTGCAGGATCACTTAATTAGGACACGTGATATGATAAATAAAATTGGTAAGCCATCTGAAGACCAGTACGGTTACAGTTCTCCAGATCTTCCAACCCAGTCGCTTCCCCAAGATGAACTTCTCTCTACAGCGAAGGGCATATATGACATACTGACGCTTCACGTAAACGCAATGAGAAATACACAAAGTCCAACACCACAAAGAGGAGAAATGGCATTTAAGGAAAGACTAGCTAAACGTTGCGATACGGAAATGGAGTCATTTGACAGCAATATTTTGGACTCCTTTCGAAAATTATATCAGATCATTCCGGCATGTTTGTTAATGGAAGTTGTACTAGCTATACAATACATAAGAGCGTTCAGTGCACTTTCAACAATATTAACTAAACTTCGAACAAAACTTTCAAAGAAATCGCTGTCAAATTTATTAATTACAAAATTAAACTTTGAGTTCCTAAATTTTTCCACACTAGATGTTTAAGAAAGCAACTAAGCGAAACTATTTGTTTTAATCAGCTTTTATTTACATAGATATGTTTATTCGTATACAAATTTATGTGCAGAATTGAATAAATATACATACTCATGTACATACAATATGAATTTTCTTTATGAGTTTTAATTTAAGTAATTTCATGTACATACATACATATTCACGAATACATAAATGTAAGTGCGGAAATAAATATTTCTTTAATAAGAAATTTCAAGCAATATTTAAAAAAGAATAAAGGGTTTATTTACATATAGAGGCCGAACCTTTTCATTTGACACCTCGTTTTTGAAACTCTGGAGAACGGTGTAAATATCATGTTTTTAAACGCAGGTGGCAGCCCTATTAAAGAAATATATCCTTACGGCCAGGGGCGCACCCAGGAATATATTTTAGGGGGGGTTTTATATTTCTTAAGATATATCACCGGAAAATACTGAAAATTTTCCTCAGATAATGCGCTCTTTAAAATATATTTATGCAAGTTTTATGTACAGTATGTAATAAATAAATAAACGTTTTAAAATTCATAAACTACACTTTATTTACATAAGATTAACAGAACTCAAACACTTTTAACCGACTTTAAAAAAAGGAGAGGTTATCAATTCGCCGGAATACGTAACTTTGGACCACGTGAACCGATTTCAATAATCATTTTTTGTAGAAAGATGGTACCTCAAGGTTCGTCCCGTAGTTTGGTTTAGAGAACCGATGATTGGATCATGAAGAAATTAACGGTACCCCTAAATTTGAATATAAGAATTGAAGTCCGTTGTGTTCTTTCCTTAAAAACTACTTGTTTAATAAAAAGTGCTATATACTCAAGATGCGCTCAACTTTCAAATGTACCTAAGAAAAAATTTTAAATAAGACTCAGTAAAAATAAATTTATTGATTCCATGAATTTTTGCACTTTTATGTTCCTTTTTCGATTTCTGGTTTCTGGCTTTCGATAGAGATGGTGATTTTTCACGATTTCTAATTTTTTTTTAATATTTCGAATACCGAAAAAATTAACTGAACTCTCAAGAAAAACGAAAAATTCATATAAAACGACGGACGAGAAAGGGAAAAGAAATTTTCTTCTACCAAAATTTCTTAAATCAGTTTGCAGCTCTCAAGAAAAAAATGCTCGTATATTCATTTCCTCATGAAAATTTACAGCAAAAGCAAAGCGCTTTCTCAAGCAACAGAAATTATAATAAATATTTCTTATAATTTCCTTGAGAGCAGGATTCTTAGCTTTAAGATACAGTTTGTATTTGAGGTTATTAGCTTCAGGGGGGGTTTGAACCCCAAAACCCACCCCTTGTGTGCGCTAATGCTTACGGCACGTCCAGAGGCCAAGCCCTTTCATTTGACACCTCATTTTTCAGAATCGGGAGAACGGTGTAAATATCATATTTTTAAACGCAGGTGGCACCCCTATTAAAAAATATATCCTTGCCACATATCCAGAGGCCAAGCCCTTTCATTTGACGCCTTATTTTTGAAAATCGGGAGAACGGTGTAAATATCATAATTTTAAACGTAGGCGGCAACTAGGGTTGCCAGATTCTGAAACGGGGAAAGGAGTACATTTCTATTTTCGATAGAAAAAAAGCAGTACAAAACATAAAAAGGGAGTACATTTTTTTTTAATTTTTTGTGCCATTTATTATTACAAATTACCATTAATTAGGTACAGACAAATAAAGATATCATAGAAAACTTCTTCAAAGCAACAATAAATGTTAAAAATAAATAACTAAATTCTACAAGAGAGTTCCAGACTCTTCCTGAATGTGTGGCCACTTTTTTAATTTAAGCCTTATAATTGATTTAATATTTTTCTGATTTTTATACCCGAGCCCTGCACCCACCAGGCTACGAGCATGCTTATATGGTAGACAGACGGAGAAAGTTAATCTGAATTAATAAGCATAAATGCAAATTAAAATTTTACCCTTACAGACGGCAGTAATGTGAATAAACCAGCCGCAAGGTTGTGGGTTCGAGTCCCACGGCCAGTATACTTTTTTATTTCTTTTTCATTCTTTTTTTTATAAGTTATATATTTTTTTTACGTTACTTTCAGTTAGTTGTTGAATTTTTAACTATGTAAATTCATCTCAAAAAATTAAAATTAACTAATAGTAGTAAAATAAGAAATGTGATATAAAATAAAGCAAATGAAAATAAAATAAAGTAAAATTAAATATATAAATAAAAAAATATAAAATAAATAATAAAAACAAAAAATTTTTCGCAATCGCTCCAACCGAGTATCGAACCTGGCAGCTACAGGCTTGTAGCTCGCAACTCTCACCACTCGGCTACCGCGTACGCGAAACTCGACTGCTTGCTTACTTGTACAAAAGACAACAACTGGCCGTTTTTACCAGTGTTGTCATCGAAAATTCTCCGGATCCGAGTTAATTCCCAAAAATTTCGTGCATTTGTTCGGCTGCTTATGCTCATTTCCCTGCAAAAATCGCGACTACTCCATGCATGCGTGTAAAGAGAACTTCCTAAGGACGAAGGAGTACTCCAAAATTAACCACAATTCATATAAAGATATGGTCCAATTAACATTGCGATGTCCTAGGGCAGGACCATATACTCCATCCCTGCATTACATCAGAGTAGCACAAAACTACTCCAACATATTAACAATGGCATTGTTGTTATATTTTTTCGTTTGTACACGCTTTTGTTCTTCACTTCTCAAATGCTTTTTCGAAATTAATAAAAACCAAGACAAAAATTAAAAATTACATGTTGCCTCTGACGGCATTCGAACCCGAACATGCTGGGAGCTAAGAACTAACAGCGAGCATCTCTACACGTTCAGCTACAGCCAGACATGCAAATGTGCTTTCAAATGCTCAACTTCAATCACATTTCGTTAAAACACGAGCAGTGATCAGATAACAAACAATAAGCTGGCGCAGAGACACGAGTTGGTCCGCTACAGCATGACAGAGGAACACTTTTGTAAGTACTCCAATATACCACAAATAGACTACATGGTCCAACGATTTTTGCAGGGTTTAACCCCTTGTAGACCAGGATATGAGGGACATAAAAAGAGTTTGTTTTCACTGTCAAATCTTGTTTATTATCGGTTTAGGATAATATATCCAAATGTAAAATATTTTCAAGGATACGTAAGGATATTTAAAATTGGTGGTACTCAAAAGTACCGTTGGTCTCACTCGAGCAGTAAATAAGAAGAAACTTCAGCTGTCTTTTTATTGAAAGTCTTTATTGAAAAAATAACCGCATATTATTCAATTCATTCCATGGTCTTTCTAAAACAGCTTTTTTATTTCAAAAGAATAAACACAGATTTAATTCATTACATATTATTTCTAAAGCAGTTTTTTTCATTTCAACAAAGTGCAATTGTTAAACTTCATTGTATTGCGAAGGAAAATTAATTTCGAACCAAATTTCTCTCAAAGATACTTAGCTGCTTTACTGATTAAATAAATACATATTAATTTATTCCGTGGTATTTAGAAAAACAGTTCTTTTTGTCATTACAGCAAAGGTACACACAATGAACACATTTAGAGTAGGGTTTCGACTGAATTTTTTGCAAGCTACAAAATTCACATCTTCCTCGAACATTAACAAAAATTGGCCAGTGAACACCAAGATTTCCTAATCGTACATCCTTACAAACAGAGGCGTTTTGTCCTCTGCGCCTTTTGGAGTTAGTGACTAACTCATCGTTAGAATTAGATGTCAAACTTTTTCTCTTTAGGTTTGGGCATTTTTGGGTCATCAATCCTAAACTAACAGATCTCCTGAATTGCAAAAGTGTACATTTTTCCAACGACTGACAGTAAATCACATAAGCGTTGATGAATGCTATTTCCAACAGACCCCGAAAAATTCGGCACCACCACTTTTTGGATTTCCTGTCAAGGCCATAAGCACTCCGCAATTGATCAGCATGATCAACTCCGCCCATGAAGGTATTATAGTCCTTGACCACTATTGGACACTTTATATCATTAATATTGCCTTTTTGATCCCTCCTAGGAACGGTCATAGATTCAGATCCATGGAAATTGGATGCCAGAAAAATTGCCTTCTTATCCATCCACTTGTAGAAACTTATGCCACTAGAAGATAGCCTGAAATCGTTATCTCCTCTTTTCATTTTCTTATCAGTGACCAAGTGTTTTGGGTTTCCTTTTCGGTTGGCGCGAATAGTGCCGCAAGCTAACGTTTGTTCTGTTTTTAATTTTTCAAGAAGGTGAACAGATGTGAAGTAGTTATCGAAAAAAATTATTTTATTTTTTCCCCACTCCTCTTCAGTCATTGACAAGACAACTCTTTCTCCAAGACCGAAACCTGCATACTTTTCTTCCAACTCTTCATCCTTGCCTTGGTAGATAGAAAATTTTTTTATATAGCCATATTGGTCAGCCAAGCACCAAACTTTATATCCTCTCTTTATTGGCTTCATTGGGCAATACTGCTTCATTACATTTCTTCCTTTAAATAGTATCATCGATTCGTCAACGGAAAGCTGTCGAGTGCCGTTATAAACTTGTTGAAATTTCTTATTCAAACCATCGATCATTGGTCGAAGTTTGTAAAGTCGATCCTTATTTTCTTTAGGAATCATTGAATTATCGTTAACATGCAGGTTACTCAAAATCTCATCAAATCTATTACGAGCCATAGTTTTGCTAACAATTGGCAAAAAAAAATCTTCACTCGTGCTCCAGTAATCTTTCCAACTTGGAAGTTTGTGATAACCCATGAAAAAGTTGATTCCAATAAAAGCATGCAACTCACCTTTCTTCAAATTTAAAACTTTATGCTTTTGGGATGCATACAAGTTCGATTGGAATATTATATTTTCGGTGATGTCCGCAATAAGTGCCAGAAAATATTCTGTAGGTGTTGTATACGATTCGAAATATCCTGTTACAGGTCCTTCTGGTAAAAAGAAATCAGGAATACTTGTTTCATGCTGTTTTAGCTTCCAGTGGCAATTCGGCTCAATACTTCTGCCTAAGCGTTTGGCTCCGGTATTCGAGTGAACTTGTTCTAAATTATCAGCTTGAACACGATTTGCGCTTTCTTCAAAAGGA